ATCCTCCTCATCATCCTCATCCTCCTCCTCCTCCTCCTCCTCATCATCCTCATCCTCATCATCCTCCTCCTCCTCATCATCCTCCTCCTCATCCTCATCATCAATTTTTAAATTAATAAACAGTGGTTAAACAGGGCTATATGCTTACTTCTCTTTTTAGGAACACTTGTGCTCCTAATTTAAAAAACAACATTTATTTCAAATTTATTTCAAGGACCTATATTTGTTGTCAAGTACTTTCCAGGCCTTGAATCCATGTGTCTGATATTCTAGTAGAAGCGTGGGAACCCTGTACATGATTTTAGTGTTTGTTAGCCATCAAACGAAGCTCAGGATGAGCAACACGACACACCCTGACAAACCTGAGCAAACGACATGTTATCACTCATCCTGCAATTACAACACATCCCTACAGGCCGAGAAACACAGCATTCACTCGCGGTGAACCTGTGCGACTTCATTCAGCGCAACACAAAACAAGAATCGGGTTTGACAGCAAACGTCGCTCGCTCACGTGTCCACGCCAAAAACAACAAGAATGTGAAACACAACACATCAGACGACTTCACAATATTGGAATATAGTGACAGTCGTGGTCTTTATGAACGGCCGGTGATAAAACATTATTGTATGTAACGTAGGGCGGGGCGATATAGCTAATAAAATGTATCAACGATATAATGTATCATATCGTTCTGTATCGATAATTATTGACATTTTTATAACCTTTTTTAAAACAAAGAGCAATAGAATTTTTTATTTTATTTAACCACTGTATTTATATTTGAGGCAAACAACTATATTTTTTGTTTGTTTTAACAGTCAAGCACACAATAAAAATTCAACAAATTTCTAATGTTTTATATGCAGATTAAATAGGCCACAGGACGGCACAATGAGCAAAATAATGCAGCACATTAAATTGTCAACGCAAGGAAATAACTGTCTATAAAAACCGTGCATTACGTCTAAATTAACTCATATAAATCAAACATCATTTTGTAAATTGCATAAACAATTATGAACAAAACAGCATCATGTATTTATGCATTGCTTAATACAAAGAGCCGAAGCACTGATCACGCAGATTGCATTTAAACACATAAGAGACGCAGTGAAAAGGAATAAACCTTCACAAATTCGCGACGTGTTTTCTAAAAGTTGAAACTGTTTTAACGGTGCATGGCTTTCTATACATCTCTTGTGTGTGACGCGAGTGCAGCAGTCGTATTTGTCCGTTCTGTGTGAATGGCTTGGTTTCGGCTTTAACCCAATCAAGATCTTCTCCGCATCGAGCTTCTATATTTCTCTAATATGTTGAATGAATAACGCAGCAGCGGCGCGTCTCGTGGGCTAAACTAACACCACATTAAAATGCAACAGTGTCACTCACATCATCATCACCGCATCTCGCGCGCCCTGACGCACACCTAACATTCAAATGCAAATGTTTATTTTAAATTCGACTAATATTATTATTTTTTACTCATAATCTCCTCATCACAGGCAGGCATTACAGCATGTGTTTGTGTGTGCGGTCTGCGAACTGTTTTAACGGTGCATGGCTTTCTATACATCTCTTGTGTGTGACGCGAGTGCAGCAGTCGTATTTGTCCGTTCTGTGTGAATGGCTTGGTTTCGGCTTTAACCCAATCAAGATCTTCTCCGCATCGAGCTTCTATATTTCTCTAATATGTTGAATGAATAACGCAGCAGCGGCGCGTCTCGTGAGCAACACTAACATAACATTAAAATGCAACACAGTCACTTACGTCACCGCACACCTAACATTTGATTGTACTATTTTTGCATTCAAATGCAAACGTTCATTTTAAATTCGACTAATATTCTTTTTTTTTTTTAATTCACAATCTCCTCATCGCAGGCACAGCACTCAATTCAGCTAACATTCAAATGCAAATGTTTATTTTAAATTCGACTAATATTATTATTTTTTACTCATAATCTCCTCATCACAGGCAGGCATTACAGCATGTGTTTGTGTGTGCGGTCTGCGTCACTCAGAGCACGTGCCTATATCGTGGTACTACATTTTGCTTGCACTGAATATTATCATTAAACCTAAAACTAACCAAGTTTGAATCTATATCGTCCTCGAGGGTGGATATATGAAGTGTTTGTGTGGTTTGACCTTGCTGGAAGTCGGTGCGTCCGCAGCCGCGGATGAGCAGAGCGTCTCCGGTGAAGGCCATGCGCTCGTCTTCAGAGACGTACGTCACGCATCCGTCTGTGTGTCCCGGCGTCTCTCGCACCATCAGACACTGAAACAAGAGTCATAATCAGCACTTCATTCATTCTA